GTCAGAAGCTCGTCACGATGCTCCTGCCTTTTCTATTCAAAAACTTTAAGCTTGTGAAACAAGTCGTTTTTCATTCTTTCCGATTTTCCGCTGCGTTTTCCCAGCTTTTAAAGATCGATAGACGTTGCACCGCTAGATGTTATACCTCAGCTTAGGACAAAAGAAGACAGCCGATAGGATCTTAGCTATTTCAACGATGTCCTAAAGACAGCTGTTCTGGAACGCTGGTTTCTGTCATTCTCACCAAGTCGGGTGACTGTCTCAATTGTAACTTAATAGGGAAAGTTTATATTGCATCTTTGCAATATATTGTTGTTCGTCACTCTCTCTCTTATATATATATATATATATAATTATTTTTATAAAAAAAATTATAACATTATCCATCTATATATATATATATGTGTGTGTATATTATGAAATTTAAAGGCACTCAGACATTGAAGAATTTATTTATATTAACATTAAATAATTATTTATATTTAAATATATACTTGAAACCAGGAAATATGGTCCGAAAATGACACCATTTGTGCTAATACAGTACCACAAGTCATCATCGTATCTGAGGGTTTGAGTATACCGGCCTTGTTTTTATTGTGCATTCAGTCTCTTTGGTTTTTAGAAGGCGATAGGCATACCTAATAAATATGTTTTATATATATATATATATATATATATATATATATATATATATATATATATATATCGCCTATCGCCTTTTCCTTCTCTCTCTCTCCCTCTCTCTATATATATTTATATATTAGAAGAAATGGATTAAATATTTTAATATATTTTCTGTTTATACGTTATTTTTATGGATATAACTTATTTGAGTAAATGGTCTGTTTTAATTAAACAGTTTTAATTACATTTACCGGCAAATTTTCGTAGAAAATATGCTTTGTCTGACAGGAATCGAACCTGTATCCCATATGTCGGAGAACGCATGTTTTTTTACGAAAATTTCTTGAACATTCAGGACGGTAAGCGTAATTAATACTGTTTAATTAATTCACAAATATCTAGTCAAATAAGTTGTATCCATAAAATAATATATATAAAGATATATATATATATATATATATATATATATATATATATATATATATATATATATATAATATGTGAAAATATATAGAAAATAGGAAGGAACTGGTTAGGTAAATAATCCAAAGTCCCTTAGTATTTTAGTTATTATTTTTAAAAAATAGTGCTCGATACAAAAGTAGAGCATAAATATAATTATTTTTATTTATGGTTCCAAATCGCTATAAGGGTCTCATGTTTCAAAACAAGTTTATAATCCTTTAAATTAAATTGAGTTTAAATTAAAAATGGGCTCCGTTCCATCTTCAAGCGAAATTTTTGTTGGAATAACGTATATCTGAAATTTACTTGTTTTAAAAATTGAAATCAAAATCTCCATGGTAACAGCTAGGGCAAATTGTTTAAATTGGGTAGGCGAGTTTAGGGTGTTAATAATAAGTATTTAAACTCAATTTAATTTAAAGGATTATATTGAAGTTTTCGGCTCTTGTTTTTGAAACATGAGACCTCTTATGTAGCGATTTGGAATCATATTTTTAAATAAATAATTATATATATATATATATATATATATATATATATATATATATATATATTGGTTAGAAGACCTGTAATCGGATGGTTAGTTAACTCGTCTTTCAAGTCAATTAGCGATCACGTAGGATTATGCTCTCTCTCTCTCTCTCTCTCTCTCTCTCTCTCTCTCTCTCTCTCTCTCTCTCAGGAACTGTACATTTTGGATTAAGCAATTGTGAAAGGCAAACGAGACTAAGCAGGCGTCTACAACATCCATCTCATCTGAGATGTATATTCAAAAACAAGCGCCCAGTCATACAACTATATCAGTCATTAAGGAGGCAGTATTTTAAATTCTGTGTTCGTTCTTGTTTCAGTAACTTGTTATAGATTTGGCAGTTAGTTTTTCATTTATCACTTATCCCACATAAAAATCGCACATTCTTATATTTTTCATATATTGAAATATTTTTCTCAGAAAATCTATTCAACATTAATCAAATTCTAATAAACATAACCTCGTTAAGTAACTTACTCGCTGTTTCCCTTTTCTCCTCTTGCCTTCAATATGTCCTGTGGGTGTCAAATTCTCCAAGCCCTCATTCTTCATTATATCGCTAAAATTTCAACTTTTTTTTTGATTTTACGCATCTTTGTTCTGTTTTTCTTAAAACTTACTCATTGTTCACATTTCCGTCTTTGGTATTCTCAGCATTGTTTTATAGAAGCATCTGTATGATTTCTCTCCTCTTTGGCTGTGAGGAAATTTACTTATATAAAGCGCAGTTTTCTCTTCTTTCTTTCCAACGAAATTTTCTAGTTTCTTGATTTTTTGCTTAGCTTTTGAAAGGCATCTTTCGCTATTCCAATGCGCTTTTGGATTACTGTGTCACATTTTCATTCACCTTCTTTAACATTTCCCAGATATTTAAATTTTCATACTTGCTTGATTTTGACATCTCGAATTCGTAGCTGGCCGCTTGAGTTTCACTAATGATCATGCATTCAGTTATATTATAAGTGATGCTTAGTCCTTTCTTCTCGCTTTCCTTTACTACCTTGTTTAGAACTATCCGCAGTCTTTCAGTGTCTACCGTGTGTTTTTCTGGAAAGTTACTTTTTGGAGGTATGACTATTCAATTCATTAACAATGATATTTATAAGTACTTACATGAAAATGTATATATTTATTAATGTCCTTGACAGAATTGATATTTTGGTAGCAAGGTTCCACTCAGACATTTTTTTCATATTTTGTGTAGATGCATATTGTTAGACGAAAAAAATAATCTCCGAAATGGAATCAGCAATACCTGACAAACAAACGTTAGTTTAATCAGTTAATGTGGCGCCTTATGTATATCAGCTAACAAACAAATCCCTCAACTTCTCTTTGCAACAACAACAATAATAATAAATTACCTGTTTAAATCTATCTATCTATCTATCTATCTATCTATCTATCTATCTATCTATCTCGGTTTGGTACATTTGGACGCTGGCGTTTTGGCATGTCCGTTTGAATGCCAGCTGATTTGGCACCAGACTTTCCTACCACAGAAACTAAAAAAGTATACAGATGCAAATGGAAGAATACATGAAACAGTTCTTAAATTTGAAAAAATTGATACTGTCGATTACCCGAGGAGACTTGCTCAATATTTACCAAGGGAAATAAATGCATAGCAGGTTTCCGATGATCTTTTGACATATTAACACTCATACTAGGGATATGTCTGTGTTTGAGCTTTAAACAATGACGCATGCTACGATAAGGTTATGTGATGAAAAAGACCAGTGGGTGCAGGTGTCTTATTCAGGACATACAAACACGCATGTTCCTTTTGTTCAATTTCAGAGCCGTGGCAGATAGATCGGATCATGGGAGTCTTCGATAGGTTTGTATGGTCATTTCGAAGCATCGGATGAAAATCCACAGATTTATGGCCGAAAAATGGGCTTTTTGAATAGTTTTTCGTGGTTTTTCGTTATATACGGGGAAGTGAGCAGGACTAAAATCGCACTATGTTATTTCTTGCATGATGGCAATTTTTTGTGACATCTTTGAAGAAAATCGGATAAAAAAATGAGGAAGTTATTCAAGTTTTTATTTTAAGTAGTACGAAAAACCCGATATTTTCACAGTTTTTTTGCAATTTTTTGTGTGAAGCCAATGTCACACGAAAACTATAAAGTCCTCTAAATAGACCTCGTAACATGAGCTATGTTTTGCATTAAGTGCACTCATCCAGTAAAAAAAAATTGTGTGCGTGTAACTTTGCCTTGATTTTTGCATAAAATTCGTTCCCACCCGCAGTTTTATCGTGTTTTCTGCCAAACTCGAGGGGGCTGGAGATTGAAAAGTTGGTCTTGACTAACTTGGTAAATTTACAACATGTGTGTACAATTTCACTGAAATCGGTCGTGAAATATAGACATGCATAAATGGCGCACACACACGCACCTACACACACACACAGGCATCTCCATAGATATGGATATACTTTAGTAGGTTAGAGCATATCTGTAATTATGCAACTTGGTGAACATTTCACTTTTCATCCATAGCAACGATTAGTAGATTCAAGTGCTTGTAAAATATTCGATGACACCGTATCTATCTCATTCTGTTCATATTCGTCGATGAACAGGTCTTTATACTTATTTCTATTTGTTGCCTTACCATCTATGCATATTAGAGACACGACAAAATTTACAAAATAACAAATGAGGTAAAACATTTTCAAATTTTCCACTGACACCCACTCTTTATTATCAATCATTTCCCTTGGTTTCTCTTCTAAGCTTCTCTGTGTCATGATTTTGATAAATGAACCAAAGTTTGAAAACGACGCATGCGCTCTCTGCTTCCCCACAAGGGAATGATGGGAAGTTATTTAGAATTAATTCAATTTACCAGAAACAGACAGCCAATTTTAAACACTGTGGTTGCGAAGGGCGGTAAATAGAATTGAAAAATGGGTTAACAGCTCCAAACATAGGCGTAATCGACCATATGTCGAAATTTTTCTCATAGTTTTAGTGTAAATACAACTCGTTCTAGTAGAAACGGATTGAACTGCAGAAGGAGTTTACGTTTTCCATGCGATCATCCCATTCGTGTACTTAGAAAATTATTTTATTATTCATTGATTGATTGATTTGTTTTTTACGGTTTATCAAACTTTTGCAAGGTATTTAAAGCCAGAAAATATTTTTAGATTTTAAGAATATTTTTGGCGATAATAATGATTTACTGATACAAGTCCTACTAATTAACCCATATCTGGTAAGGAAAAGAGGTGGATTCCTATCTCTTCCAAGAGTATTTGTGCGTAAGTGAATATAACGAACCTGACTGGAACTGGAACACGGTTCTCCGATTTCCAATTCCGAGTCGTTATCCATTACATCACCTGAACTTCCATGTTTAAAGCACCTGGTATTCTCAAGCGGGTACCCATCTAGGTACTGACAAAGTTTGACGTCGCTTAACTTCGGTGATCATACGAGAACCGGTGTTTCAACGTGATATGGCCATAAGCCTTATTTTATTAGGTGTGTGAAAAGGTTCCACGTGATTTTTTTTTAAATAAATTAAAAAAATGCTTTTATTGTGCATTCAGTCTCATGTTTTTTTAGAAGGCGCTGAGCACAACTGTACACACACACACACACCTACGCTTTATATATTTTAAAGAGAAAACGCAAACGGTTTTGGTTATAATGTGGATTTTTTTAATATATTATACATTATTTCCCATATTCTATGGAAAATAAAGTATAATATATAAAATATGGACAATAAAGGATCATATATAAAAGTATTCACATTATAAACAAAAACATTTGCGGATTCTCTTTTCTTTTTAAAATATACACTTTTCTTTCGTTGGAACAACTATAATCTCTCCCTTATATATATATATATATATATATACACAGTGGTTAGGACACCTGTAAGCTAATGGTCTGTTAGCTCGTCTTCCAAGCCAATTAGCGAGATTTATTTCCATTTTAGGCGCCAACTCCTGTGGACATCGGCCTGGCTAAATAAAGGCTTGCTTGGTGTGTGCGTATTTGCTACTGATGTCAGTCATTAGTGTTCAAGTAAAAAAAAAAATGATCTCAAATGTTTGGTTATCAAGCAAGAATGCCCCCACCCCGACTTGTGAGGTAGGCTTAACGTAATCACCTTAGATTAATTTGTCCTCATTTGGTTTTATACCGCAAGAGACAAAGCTAATATAACAGCTCAGATTATATATGTTTATATGAGGAAAGTGCTCGGCCTGGCCCACTTTCCAAAATCTGATTAAATGACCAAAAATTAGAATTATTTTTTCGAAAAGTTACGGTTGGCAGTCTCCGCTTCGCAGCCGCTATTACGTATTTGTTTTTTCGCAGTTACTATTTCGTTGTCGCTATTTAGTCGTCTTTTCGCAGTCACTGTATCGCAGTTAGCATTTTACAATGGCCGTTACGCAGTTGCTCTAGAAACGATAATTGTAACTTTTCTAATTTAATAAGGATCGAAGTTTTAAGTCAACGTGAAAAGTCTAAATTTGATCATAATTGTTATCGTTATATATTTGATGCCTGTATAAAAGCTGAACCAAACATCATTTTTGCATATAATTATATGCTAATTATAAAGAAAGAATCCATATAAAATATGAGTCTGTTATCAAAGATTGTCTTCCAGTCTTATGCATACTGCCAGAAGCTGTATGTATATTGCTGAAAGACAGTACATCGGAAGACTTAATAGGAATGGTTCTACTTATCGAGCTTAAGTTTTTCCTCTGGCAATCTAGAATTTATACTTAGGGGAGAAAACAAAACCAATAACAATGTCGGAAATAGAAATCACGCACATTTTAATTTGGAAAATTCTTGAATCACTGAAGAAATTACAAAAGGTCAGAAATGCCTACTGTGAAGAGTTAGAATCGATGGAAAGCTTTAAAGTCCAAATAAAGAAAGAATTCTCTAACTGATGAAGAATTTTGGCTTTTCTGACAGTATTTGGTTAACGTATCACAATTGAATACTTTCGAAGTAATGCATATAATGTGTAACATCGACTTTATTATATAAATAAATATTTTATTTTTGAATTATGTGTTCTTTACGTTTAAATATTATACATTATTCGGAATCACCGTAAAGTAAGATAGCATATGATTTAATATTGTTAAATAAGGATTTCTTTTAATTGTTTATTTAGTGTCAGATTAATAATACTAGTAAAATTCGATCAGCGAAATTGTAATATAATTTTAAAATCTAACGTCCAACATTAAGATATATTATTGCTCGATAGTAAAAAATGAAATCTTTTTACCGAAAAAATTACTAAAGAAATATAAAATTTTTACATAAAATTTTATATTAAATATAGTTCCACTTAAAATGATTTTGTTCTATTTTGTTTTAAAGTCATTTTTATCTAATTTTTTTTATTATTTCACGCAAGAATGATGATAATTCCACTAAGGAACTAGGGGGTTACTAAGTGTGAAAGAGAATGGGAAAATTTGAATATAAATTAAATAACGAGATGTTAGCAACTGTATATGCGTGCGAGAGTTTGTATACGCAGGTGAGCAAATAAATACTTATTTAATTTAATTTATGGTGCAAACAAAACAGTGCTCAATGTAGTTAAATTGTTATATATATATATATATATATTTATACATATATATATATATATATATATATATATATATATATATATATATATATATATATATATATATATCGGACTGGTTTTGCGTTCTATTATCCATTGCGTTCAGTTGGCACTTTTCTTCATGTGGCAACTGTTTATGTGATAGGAGATGCTCAAAAACTTTTCGAACCTCATTAAACCTTGTCATTTATTTAACTAATATATATATATATATATATATATATATATATATATATATATATATATATATATGTGTGTGTGTGTGTGTGTGTGTGTGTGTGTGTGTGTGTGTAAAATTTCAGATATAACTAAAAGTATGGACATGAATAAAGAAAAAAGGAAAACAAAACTCTGAAGGACTTTTTCAGATAAATTTTCCTTTTGTCTTTATTCAAATATATATATATATATATATATATATATATATATATATATATATATATATATATATGTGTGTGTGTGTATATGTGTGTGTGTGTTTGTGTAAGAAGATGAGATAATATTACTCAGCATGCAGCATTTCTTGAAAAGCAACTCTTTTTACTATGATACTCATAAGGTTATTAAAATGCGAAAGTATGTATTATATATAAGTTGCAGAAGTCTTTTGAAGTCTATTCTATTATCGTCTTGATGAACCCCATCACATGCTACAACTTTTTATACTTGGAAATGCAATAGAATATTTCTACTTTATCGAAGGAAATAAAGATAGTCAGCGTAAAGTAAAGAGAAAAAACAAGAATAGGAAATTTCTGAAAAGTGGAATCAAGTTAACAATAAGTGAAGAAGAAATAAAAAAGAAATAATGTAGGACCATGTAAGCAATGACAAAAAAATATTTTAAAAATATATAACAGATCGCCATAATGAATGAGAAAAATAAAACACAAATTCGTTTTATCTTATACAGGGTTTATTTTTTAATGCTTATCTTTAAAAAGAAAAAAAAAAGAAAAACAGTCTGAAATGGAGACTGGCGTTAAGAAACATGTCCACATCTTTCGAAAGTCATATTTCCAGCAAAGGCTCTTAATCTATTACGTGGACGTTATTTCAGAGCGAGACCCCTACTGTATAGATACATTTTGTCTACCGCGTACAAGATTAGCTGTTGAGAACATTCATGCAGTACAATATCACTTTTCGGCCAGTTTTTACAATTGCATTTTTCCTTTTCTCATTCTAGATCTTTGTAATTTTCTTTCAGCATTAAGCTACACAACAATGATATACTAGAATCTTTGATAAATATTATGAAATTCTTCCTTGATATTGTAGCCATGAAACTTTTCTTTCGCTCCATATTTCGAAATTCAACTAGATCAGCGATCACCACAGTGATTATTACAGCTGACATAAATCCGTTGTAAATCACGTACACTTGGTGGTGCACACCGAATTCACGTGTAAAGCGAGGCTACACAATGCAGTACATCATATTTCCGTCGGACGTCAGTGGCGGCAGTATATATTCCAGTAGAACGCTGAATTCCTTCCACATGGCCCACGTGATCCAGAAGTGGGTGACTGAGAGATTACCCTATCCTATCTCACAACAACAGCCTCACTCCTCTGATTTGAATCCTCTGAATGACTTCATTTGGAACGTTGTCTAAAGAGAGTTCAATCAACGGCCTCACAATATCAAGGATTCTTTAAAGGTCGACAACGTGGGACGTGATGATCAGCATGAATGAGAACCGAATGATCTGGGTATGTAGTCACCCCCAAAGCTATATGGAGGCCATCATCGATGTGCTGGTAGGTTTTACTCAATAACCTTGCCTGTTTTTCTTGTACTGAAAATTTGAAAGTTTGAAAATATAACGATATTTTCATTGTTTTTCTTTATACTCTAATATATTCACAATTACCAGGTACTTCTTCTTTATATATGCCTGTTTACGTGTATATGTGTGTGCCTGATTTATAGTAATAAGACGGTTCTATAAAAACATTACAAGTAGTAGTAGTAGTAGTAGTAGAAGAAGAAGAATAGATAGATAGATAGATAGATAGATAGATAGATAGATAGATAGAGAGAGAGAGAGAGAGAGAGAGAAATTGTGGGAGAAACAGAAGATAGAAAAGATGTGTTAAGAGAATGCTTAGGAAAGGTGGAAGAGAAAGAGAGAGAGAGAGAGAGAAAGAGAGAGAGAGAGGGAAAGGAAAAGTGAAAGAATAAAGTGTATAGAATTAGAAGCGGAAGGAGAAAAAGTAGGGAAAAGAAAGAAAGATATGCAAATAGATGATGATGATGATGATGATGTCTAGAATTTTTTAAAAGTAACGAGTTAGACGCGAGAGAGGTAGAAAAGATTGGAGATGAAGAAAATTGAAAATGGGCACCGAGATTCTGCAAGAAACTAAGAATGGAAAGAGAAGGAAAAAGTAAAAAATAGTAACGATAAGATAAATAAACGAAACGAAGTAAAAAATGGAGAATGAAAAAATGAAGAAAAAAAGGAAGAAAAAATAAAGATGGAAAATGTAAGAAAAAAGAAGAAAAGTTTCATAAAATAGTGAAGAGGCAAAAGTAGTAGTAGTAGTAGAAGAAGAGGAAGAGAACAAGAAAGAGAAATTTGCAAAAAACAACTGAAAAAAGAAAGAAAAACGAAATTATCAGAAAGTTTTTACAAAGTGAAAGAAAAAGTATAAAAAGAACACTGCAACAGAACAAATTGAGGCGGAAGTGACTCGAATCGAAACCGGAAAAGAAAAAGAAGTGTGAATTAATGTAAAGCATTAAAAATGCTTGTGTTTTACGTGAACACTACTCCTCGGTCTGCTTTCCATCAAGCAATCTTTAACAGGCGCTAATGTGTCTATTCATCAACTGCCA